GGGTGGGTGAGAGGGGGGGATGTGGGTATGTGAGGGGGTGGATGAGGAGGTGGATGAGGGGGGAGTGTGGGTATGTGGAAGTGGATGAGGGAGGGGATGTGGGTATGAATGTATGTGAGGAGATGGATGAGGGAGGAACGAGGAAACGAAAATTTGAGATTAATCATTTTTTTTAATTATTATTTTTATTTTCCCCCAGTGGTCATAGGGGTCTTTGGTGTGTGTGTGTGTATAACATAGATGATCGTCGTTGGAAGAAATGTATTTTTTTTATATTATGCATGAGGATTTACATATGAGTTGTAGTTGTTAGAAGGAAAGGTGAGAGAGAGAGAGAGAGGATGATAGAAAGAGAAATAGAAAGAAAACATCAGAGACTTTTCAGCCCTCTTAACCACCTCCTCCATTCTACACAGATCCTCCACCATGGCACCACCGTCGTCTACTGGGACCCCGAGAGTGGGCGCAGCTGCCTCGTCTACCTTCGTCTGGAGCGCTGCAACGGGACACTCACCTGGTGCCGTCCTCCCTGGTCAGCCCTGAAGACCGGCCACTCCTCCTCTCAACCGGACTACATCCTCAGTGCTAATCCGGAAGACCTGGTGTCTCCCGGACTCCTCCTCAAGGTGCGTTTTTGCGGGGAGGCTGAGGGTTAGATAATGTAGATGGAGATAGATAGTTAGATAATAGATATATAGATAGTTAGATAATAGATAGATAGATAGTTAGATAATATAAATAAATAGGGAGATAATATAGATAGATAGGTAGATAATATAGATAGGTAGATAATATAGACAGATAGGTTGGTAATATAGATAAATAGGTAGATAATATAGACAGATAGTTAGATAATAGATATATAGATAGATAGTTAGATAATATAGATAAATAGGGAGATAATATAGATAGATAGGTAGATAATATAGATAGATAGATAGATAGGTAGATAATACAGATAGATAGATAGGTAGATAATATAGATAGATAGATAGGTAGATGATATAGATAGATAGGTAGATAATATAGATAGATAGATAGATAGGTAGATGATATAGATAGATAGGTAGATAATATAGACAGATAATTTGATAATATAGATAAATAGGTAGATAATATAGATAGATAGGTAGATAATATAGACAGATAAGTAGATAACATAAATAAATAGTTAGTTTTTGTTAGTCTGCAATATATATATATATATAGTTATATAGATAAATAGATAGATAGATAAATATAGGTAACAATCTGACATTTGATTTTAAGAGAGTGAGGCTGGTTATCCAAAGTAGTTAGGAAAATTGTCATATCTAAATGGATGCGAATCATTGCAGATAGAAGAACATAGAGGAGAATGAAAAGAATTTTAAAAGAATTATAATAATCTAATGGGGAAAAAAAATAAAATGAAATGATATATTATGGTAGGATATATTTAAAAGATATCCTAATGATATATTATGGTAGGATATGTTTATTAGATTTCCTAATGATATATTATGGTAGCATATATTTAATAAATTTTCCAATGATATATTATGGTAGGATACATTTAATAGAATTTCTAGTGATATATGATGGTAGGATACATTTAATAGATTTTCTAGTGATATATTATGGTAGCATATATTTAACCCATTCACGCCGGGTGTCCCGTATACGTGACGGGCTCACTGCGAGTTTACTTGTTTAATTGTTTACAAACATAGATGGCTCCACTTGCACTTGTACTGCCTGTCTCGTCTGTTTACCCTTTTCTTTAATTTACGAAATTATTTTGCGTTATCTTATTTTGCTGTTACTAATGTTTATAACATTATAGTAATTATAAAGTTTATAATGAAAATAACCATCGATATTCATAGCATTAGTAAAAATACAGTTTCCCGCCAAATGAAATCAGGTAAGGCAGAGCCATCTAGTGTAGAGAAATTTCATTAAAAAATATAAAAAATGAGCACAGCATTTTCCCCATTTTTTTTTTTTCATTTTTACCCGGCGCGAATGGGGTTAATAGATTTCCTAATGATATATTAAGGTACGATATATTTAATAGATTTTCTAAGTCTTAACAGAAGCATGGACGTATTTCAGTATTCCACTTCTCCTGAACTGACCGGGGGATCGCCTGAAGAGGGATTCGTACAAATTGCTTGCCTGAAGGAGATTGAACCTGGCTCGCGTGACGTGAACTGTTCAGCTGTTGCCAGAAGGTAAGTGTGGAGGGAGTTAGTGATTATAATGATAAATAAATAAATAAATAAATAGATAGAAAAATAATAATAATAATAGATAATAATAAAATAATGATGTAGGGTCGTTGTTGTATGTGGTGGGGTTTTCCTGTTGAGATTTTATATTTTCTTTTCTTGTTCATCAGAAGTTTGGATCATTTTCTCATAAACATTTCGTCTCTCTCTATCTATCTCTCTCTCTCTATCTCTCTCTCTCTCTCTCTCTGTCTCTCCCTCTCTCCCTCCCTCTCCTTCCTTCCTTCCTTCTTACCTCCTCGCCCTCTCCTTCCCCCTCCCCTTTCCCCTTCTTCCTTCCTCCTCTCCCTCTCTCCCTCTCCTTCCCCCTCTCTCCCTCCTCCTCTCCCCCCTCCCCCCTCTCTCCCTCTCTCCCTCTCTCCCTCTTTCCCTCTCTCCCTCTCTAATCGCCATCCGGGTTTTTTTTTTCCAGATACTACCTAGACGGGCCCATCAGCTCCGACCACTGCGTCACGCTAGTCTACGGGGCCAACCTCGCCGATAATCGACTCATGGTCTTGGTGGCACCTCCTTCCGTCGCTAAACTCTGGTGCCAAGGATTGCAGGTTCGTGCGGAGCCAGTGGGGGGGGGGGTTGAGAGAGGAGGAACTGTTCAAGATTTTTTTTTTAGTTTGGAGAAGGAAGAGGAGCAGGAGGTGGAGCAAGAGGAGGAGGAGGAGGAGGAGGAGGAGCTGTTCTTTTTTTTTTTTGTTGTTTGGAGCAGGAGGAGGAATAGGAGCTGTTCAAGATTTTTTTTTAGCTTGGAGGAAGAGGAGGAGGAGGAGGAGGAGGGGGAGAAGGAGAAGGAGGAGGAGGAGAAGGAATAGTAGTAGGAAGAGGAGGAGCTGTTCAAGACCCTTTTTAGCTTGGAGGAAGAGGAGGAGGAGGAGGAGGAGGAGGAGCTGTTCAAGAGCTTATTTTTAGCTTGAAGGAAGAGGAGGAGCAGGAGGAGGGGATGTTCAAGATTTTTTTTAGCTTGGAGGAAGAGGAGGAGGAGGAGGAGGGGGAGAAGGAGAAGGAGAAGGAGGAGGAGGAGAAGGAATAGTAGTAGGAAGAGGAGGAGCTGTTCAAGACCCTTTTTAGCTTGGAGGAAGAGGAGGAGGAAGAGGAATAGTAGGAGGAGGAGGAGTCGTTCAGGATTCACTTCTTTAGCTTGATGATTACTCAGTAGAATCTTTATGGCGTATGTGATTTAACCGATTTTTAAAAATTATTTTATGAATTGTCATTATTGTTTCCTTTAATGAGTCTTTCAATATTTTTTTATTATTTCCATTCATCAGGTGTTGGTTCGAGCGCAGAGAAGACTAGCAAGCATAAGTGACAAGCGCCTTTGCTGGCTGAAGGAGCAGTATCTGAAGCTCTACTTTGAGGACGAGGGATGCAGTGGACCCAAACCTGCTGAGGCAATTAAGGTAAGGGAGGTATTTTAGGGCAAGAGGGGTGTTTTAAAGTAAGGGAGATATTTTAGGACAAGGGGGGTATTTTAAGGTAAGAGGGGTATTTTAGGGCATGAGGGATAGTTTAAGGTAAAGGATATTTTATGGTTAGAGAGGTATTTTAAAGTAGGTGATATTTGGTGGTTCGAGGGATATTTAAGGTAAGAGATATTTTAAGGTAGAATATATTTTAAGGTAAGAGATATTCCCTTCTCATTTTCTTTCATCTTGGGGAGAATTAGGTGAAACGGATGCTTAAAGATATTTCATGGTTAGATAGATAGATAGATAGATAGATGGATAGATAAATAGATAAATAGATGGATTGATAGATAAATAGATAGATAGATATTTATTACATTGTTTCTTCTCTCATTCTCTCATTTCACGCTCTCGACAATGAAAGCGAAAAAGACATCTTCTCTTTGGTTCTGATACTATTCCCGTGCCCTTTTTCCTCCAGATTTTCGGCGGGCGGAACTGGGGCACCTCGACCGTCGGCGGGAGTATGTCGCCCCAGGACCCCACGGCCGCCAAACGGGGCTCGGGCTCCACCAAGATCAAGAAGCTGAAGCCCCAAGCCACCATGAATATCGCCAAGGTACGGTCTGGTGGTTTGCGTAGGGGAGGGAGGGAGGGAGGGAGGAGGAAGGAAGAGAGGGAGGGAAGGAGGGAGGGAGGGAGGAGGAAGAGAGGGAGGGAAGGAGGGAGGGGAGGGGAGAAGATTGCTTGGGTGGGGGTTTTGGTGTGTGGGAAATGATGGTAATGATGATGATAATGATGGTATTAGAAGAATTAAATAACGTTTTTAGAATTTCTGGATGTTTAAGGATAAGATACGTAAGATATAGGAATGTATATGATATGAAAAGTAAAATAGGATAAAAGACGAACGTAAGATATAGGAATATACGTAATATGAAAAGTAAGAGTCAGATAAAAGACGAAATGAAATGCTAAACGTTAAAAGGGATTCTCACCGCCTGCCGCTTTCCCCTGACGCAGGACGGCGCGAGAGTGAGCGAGGAGCTGCGCGTCGCCCCCTCGCCGGCACTCTCCACCGCCAGCAGGAGGACGATCGCGCCGCCCGTGCACCCGTCGCCGCCGCGCTCCAGGTCCTGCGACACGACGGCGGAGCACCTGATCGGGCCGGCGACGCACCCGCCCATCCTGCATTCCCCGGGCCTGGCCAGAGCGTCCTACGACCACGCCACGGGCCTGCCGTCTCCCTCGCAGCAGAATATTGGGTACAGGTGTGTAAAGGTTCATCAGGAATTCCGACGAGAGAGAAAAGGGAGTTTGATTGTTT